GGCTACGGCCATCCGAGTCCATCTGGACTCCATTCGGCTCCTTTCACTTTCGACAGGCGTCTTGCTTGGCCAGAAGCGATTTGAAAGATATTGAAGAGTCGATGAGACGGCTGCGTCTCGACGCTTAACGTCATTGCCGTCGTGATGGAAAACGCCGATCAAAAGCTGCTCGTCCAAAAATTGTCCATTTAACGGGCACGTACTTCCACGTATTGCGCGGGATTTCGATCTTTCGTCAATATGACCCGACATCTCGAGCCAATAAAAGATCAAAGCAATAAGCTCTGAGAAGGACGTCGCTCTCCGTGATGTACTTGCGAGAAAGAAGCGACGCCTATGTGGAAGTTACAAAGTACGAAGCGGAATAACAGCGAATTGCATCAGATCGTTGGGATCGTTGGGATCGTTCAGGCTCTTCGAGCCGTTCGAGCCGTCACGCCGCTGTGGCTACTTCGATCGTTCGCCTGTTTGCCTATATTGCTGCCTATTACTGCTCGTACGACGACCATGCATGCCTGTGACTGTACGTGCGGCACACACCGATAGGCCAAGTGGCCTTACAAGGCCGGACGACTCTCGACTCTCTCGACTCTCTCGACTCTCTCTCTGGACTCTCTCGACTCTCTCTCTGGACTCTCTCTCGAATCCGTAGCCCGCGAGCCTCGCTACTCTCTGCTCTAGCCAGAGACTGCTAGAGTCTCAGTCTGGATCATTCGACGATCAGATGCGCTCGTTCCAGAGCATGGAACGAAGTTGCGCGAGGTGCAGTGCGACTTGCAGTGATGCTCGCACGCTGCTATCGCCCAGAAGCGAAATGCATCTGTACCGCCATTACCGTAAAGCGTAGGAGCTAGGATACTTCGCGATTCAGCAATTCAGCAATTCAGCGATTCAGCTAGAAAGTGCAGCCTTCGTAGAAATGGAATAATTGTGCTGGATGAGGCTGGGAAAGAAGAGAGAGAATAGTAAAAAGAGGAAAGGAGAGAGACTCGACTGCAGAGAGAGAGAGAGAGAGAGAGAGAGAGAGAGAGAGAGAGAGACCAGAATGAATTGCGTTAGCTCTGCAACGCGTCGCTCAAAATGATCTTCCAGATGGATGGCGAATGACTGCTCGTGATTGGAGGGAACTACCGGAAGCCACCCACTGCTTCGATCAGCCGCCACCGGAACTCTCTTTGGTTTTAAAGGGTTACTGGCTTTCGTAGCGGAGAGCCGATCCTGGCGAAAGGATCATCGCCGATGGGATCGAACAATGTCGCAAAATATCTTTAGCCTCAAGTAACAAGATCTTTCTCAAAGCTTCGTATTACACATTCCCAGTAATTTCGTAGTCCTGCTAAAGGTACGCTAATTCGAATAGGACAATCGACTCGTATAGTAATAAACTAATAAACACCCGAGTTAATTTTGTTTGCAGATTCTGCGCTCGAGATCAATGGGTCTTCCAGGGCACTTCCGGAACATTCCCTACCCTTTCCTAGAGGCGAATCGATCGATCGATTCGTAAAGATTCGACAAAGGTCGAGTGAGAAGCGCCCGAGGGTCGCTGCCTCCCGGTGTCTCCATGCAGATGCGATGGAAATGACTAACCCACATTTGCGGCCGTAGGAATGAATAATGACGGGGCGCGGCTCGCGGCTCGCGGCTCGCGGCTTCGGTTGCCGAGACACAATGTGAAAATGCGCCATTTCAGGTGCGCCGCACCTGCGAGGATTCTCTGGGCTATCGGCGAATCCGGAGAAAAACGAGCCGAATCTTGGGAGCGGGGTGCGTGTCGACGCTGCCGCGATGCTGGAGGCCTCGAGAAAGGGCGACGAAGTTGCGCCGGGACTGCGGAGGAGTTGCGGGACGAACTCGGACGCAGCGTCGCTTTAGTGGGTGGCTCATGGCGTATGCGGGCACACCTACGTTAAATCATATACATTTATTCATCTTACACGACATACGTATTGTATTCTATTCGGCGACGCGATAGACAATGCACGGGGGCGTCTCCATCTTTCCATCTTTCTTTCGTGCTTTAAGCGACCGAGCGCAGGCGCGTGATTTCCGCGTGTACGGCGAGCGTACACAGGGTGGCCTACGGATACATAGGCCACCACATCCTCTGTTCTGCTACTTCTGGCCTCTCTCAAATCTGGAGATTCGAATTTCCTGCCCCCCAACACGGCCGACCTTGCTCCGCGGATTCTCATGGACGCTCGTCCCGTAGTAGAGCCGCACGGCTAATAAACAGGTAAAAGAATGGAAGAGAAGAAGTCAAGCGGGCCGATCCATTCGAGCAATAGGTGACTGATGTTTTATAGATTTCTCAAGCATTTCCTTTAATGGCAACGCAATATATTCAGTCCTCATCTGGAAAATCTACAAACTCGCGGCTCTACATTCCTCGGAGCTCAATAAACGTCGCGCGTTTGACGCACTCCTAATGCGTACGGTGCGAGTGTAGTGAGTTGCGTTGCCGTTGCCGTTGCCGTTGCCGTTCCTCTTGCCGCGCCCATTGAACTCCGCATGTCCTTAGCAGCAACCAGATCGCTCGTAAGTAAACCTAATCGAAGTGTACAAGCCAGGGGCTGCTTCTGCCAAATACAGAACTGGTCTCGACGTAGGCGGTCTCTACGGAGCCCACCGAGCCATCCAGCCACCGGCAACTAAGTCCGGTTTACGCTCTTTACCCCGTTCCTATTATCCGTCCCGTCCGTCTCAGCCATTCCGAAGAATTCGAGGACCCGGAAGACGGAACGAACCTGTGAGAGATCACTCGACGCTAGTCATCAAACTTTTCATCGTTCTTTCATGTTATCCGGTTTAAAAGAGAGATAGCCATGCTGCGACTGCAGTCCGCCGATGCTGAGCCTATCGCTGACAAATGACGATCGGCTGTCGTCGACTCAGGACCAATCCTGTGCCGATTGTGAGCACGTGACAACGTACCGAAATTTCTACATGGCTCGGTCCCCTCTCCCCGGGAACCGAAGAGTCCGATTTGATACTCGATATTCATGTATACTTCCCAAACACATGACCAAAGTTCAGCACCGATGTACTGGAGTTTAAGAATAGCAAAATACGGAATCCAGGAATTCAATATAAAAGGGATCGTTTGGCTGTATCGAAAGAATAAGCTTTTGTCAATTTCTTGTTACGCAAATGCCGATAACGCGGAACTTGTGCGTAATTCACGGAAAAGTTAACAGAATCTCACCTCAGAGAGAAGAGTGACTGGTAAAGTGGCGCGAAATCCTGGATGAATTTCCATCCGAGTATAACGAGTGTGACGCAGGGAAAAGAGAAATGAATTCTCAGAGGAACACTCTTTGAGTCTGACGGTCGAGTTCCGCAATTCTCCTAGAATTTTGTGTCAGGAGAAATGTCTCGTAGCTTCGCCCTGATATCGCAAGAATTCGCAATAAGGACGAAAGCAGAAATCGGCATTCGGGACTCCTGAGTCACAAGAATTCCAGAGAATCCTCGAGTGCGTAATGGTTTCCGGGCCTGAGGCCTTAGATGTTGTAGGGAGCGCACTTGCACACGCACGCCACTTCCTTCGCTTAATCGCTGAGGAAACCGGCCTTACGTCTCTCTCTCTCTCTCTCTCTCTCTCTCTCTCTCTCTCTCTCTCTCTCTATCTATCTATCTTATTTTTCTAGTCTCCCGCTAGAGATATCAGAATCCAGAAGCTGATATCGTTCTGGTGAATTTCTGGCTGGATTCTCACACGATGCATCCCAGCGCAGCTCCAGTGCCAAGAAAGAACTTGCGAGCTGCAAGACATGTCGATGCATAGGATTCTATCTCGGCCCAAATTTACCAAAAGTTTAGCCCAAAATTAATAGTTGAGGGAATCCCCTTTGCGAGATCTGAGACTGAAGCTTCAAATCGGAGGGCTCCAAAATTGCCTGAATTTTCTTCCTATTCGATAAGAAAGCGTCGAGCCTCGACTCGGAATATTACTGTCGCCGATAAAAAGGCACTTGAACGATATTTATGTTGGCGCGGCCAATCGCTGAGACGCGTAGGCGTCCGGCGTCCGGCGTCCAGCGTCCGACATTCACGAGCAATTATTCTGGTATTCGCTTCCGAAGGTCCTCGATGCGATGTCTCGTAGGATTCGCGAATTGAGAACGATTGGACTGTCTGCGAATTGGGCAGGAGGGAGCAATCGCTCGCCTTAGCCGTTTCCTGCTCTCTTGTAACAAACGAAAGCCGAAGAGGCGACACGTGTCACGTGTCACGTATCACGTGTGCTTCGGAAGGCAGAGGAGGAAGAGGCGCCTTGGCCAAAGCAACTCATCTCTCTTCCTCCTGCGGCAATTCCCTTGAGACCCGAAATGAACCCTGGTCCCTCCTCGACAATAAACAATCAGCCAGATAGCCGCGACAATGTCGATCCCAAGGAACTCGAGGTTCGTCTAAAAGGCTAACTGAGGCCTCAAATAGAAAGTGGTAAGCGTGTGGGTGGACTGAAGGCGCGTTTTGACGTTCGCGCGCTCGCAGTTGGACACGCATTGGCGCCGACAGCGAAGTTGCTGCATGTGCTCGTTTCTCTTGGCCTCTCGCCGTTTCACGAACGAGAGAAAAAGTCCCGGAACTCGTTGCCTCGATTCATAATATATAATCCGATCTAAGGTTTTTTCTCATACCGATTAGATAGCGGTCGTACGAGCCGCAAGTCGTTTAGCGAGAACGATCAGATCGGTCAGAACGGTCAGAACGGGCATGCGTTGGCGGAGGTCTAAGAAGCTGAAAATTCAGCCGCTACGGCCGATCAGACGATTGATCGATTAATCTTTGCCAAGGAACGTGAACGTGGATTCCAGCCTCTATTAGGAAAAAAAGGACAATGCAGTCAAGGGAGCAGCGCCACTCGCGGTCGCCCCCCCCCCTCCCCCCTCCTGCTTTTCCCTGAAATCCACGGCTCTCTCGTCGCTCGAATGAAAATACTCGCACATGCTCGTGCAGTGGGAATGGTCACGCAAGAAAATAAATGAAAAAGGGAATTCGTTCAAAAATTATATTTCTTCCATTCTGACACGATTCGTAAACACAACATGTTTTATAAATAAACATACACAATCATCAATAATTTATACACACAGTTAAGACTTAAGTGTTGGTCGTCTCGTCTGCTAGAATTAGAAAAATACATTTGGCCAGGATTCGCCGAGCCGATCGTCCCGACGATAAATAATTAAAACGGGAATGGGACAAACTGACAATGAAATATCTTGCTACGCCACATCCGCTCAACAATACGACTTACGTTAACCGGATCATTAACATGCTCAACATATTCATAACAATAGTAAATGCACACAAGGCTACATTGACAATCTGCCGATCGTCCTTTCCGTGGGGCTTACACGCCCGCGGATTGGCGTTACGTCGCTTTAACACCGACAATAGGGCGGGGCTCTTGGCAACGAAATAACAAAATAAATAACACAAGCATTAAACATGATTAATCACTTAACAACGTAACTAGAATTACAATAAACGTACGGATGGCGGAATTTTAATAATTACACGAGGAATCCTCCAACGTGACGATCGGCAATAGCTCAAACGTCGACGCGGCGCATGGACCTTGCCTCGAGAGTCCACACTCTTTTTCCCTTACGAGCACGTTTCTTTCTTCGACGACATACTGCGTCGTCCTCTCTATCCCTCCCTATCACTCTCTGGCCCCCTCAGTCGCGTCCTCTACCGTGACTGATTAAGGACAGTGATAAGAGAGGAGGTACCGGAGATCTTCGGTAACGGATATCGAAATATCAAACTTAACGGCTATTCTCTGTCCTAAACGACACGCTTAATCATTAAAAAAAAAATCTCGATATACAAAAATACAAGGCGACATTTGTCATTGGGGCGCGATATGTATTCCGCGTCCTTTTCTCGAAAAGTGGAAAGGAACGGCAGAGGAATTTGGAAATACGCTACTGAGGAAAGGGGCTGCGCGTAAGTACGTAACCAGAGTGACAGTAAAAGTGAAAGCAGAGTGGAAAACGTAAGGCAGGAAAACGGTCATGCCCTGCACAACCAGCTTATATCTACTGTAACAAATGACGCAGCTCGATCAAAATCTTTTTTTTTTGTTTTTTTGTTTTTTTCGTAAAAGTCTTTAGCAAAAATCTTCACCGTGTATAAAAAATATTCAATTTCAATTTTCCTTAGACTACACCTTCTAGAAACACAACAACATGCGATTCCTGTGTCATTATTTCGTTATCTTTTGTTTTTTTTTCAATTAACTCGCTCGCTCACGTAGAGCGGCAATCGTGCGAATCGCGAGAATCCACTAGCCGTTCCAACGTGGGCACCCCTTTCTTAATTTACACACTTGATTCGTTCGCAGGTACGCTTTCCTTTTGCCTTCGAAGGACAAGGGCGCGGGATCCGTCATTCGGACGCCACCTCTGGCCAATATTTTCCACACAGACTCCCTTCGAAGCTAAATTCGAGCGATCCGCAAAGTTTCTTACAGAGTATAGATATCTTATTGTAGAAAATAGATCGTAAGTTAGTTGGACTGACCGTTTCAATTTGGCACATGAATACTTTCGCGCGTACGAAGACACTCCCGGGGAATGTCACTGGCGGAACACGACATACTACGTAAGAATAATGGATAAGGGAACAGGAGACGATAAAGAGGATCGTCAAAGGAAGTGGAGAAAGTCACAAGGCAGAAGGAAGAAGGATGGGCCAAATCTTTTGCCGATGGTTTAGCCAACGGAGAACTATTTACAAATAATTTTTCGCAAAAGATTCGGCCGACAGTCCGTCCTCGTGTGCGTGGCTTTTCGCCTATTTAATAGGAATGCATTTGCCTGTTTCTGGCAACTTCATCGTGGGCACTGGAGCCTCACACAGTCCGTAGATCGGAGTGAGGAGGGGAGGGGTGAAGTCAAGAGGAGCGAAGGGAGGAGAAGGGAGGGCGGACGGGTCAAGGACTGGGAGAAGGGGGAGAAGAAGGCGGGCGTCTCGAAGTAGCAGCTTCCCGAGAGATTCGCCACGACTATACGTGCAAGTACGTAGCTACGCGGAGACAGGCGCAAACACACTTATCTATAGAAGAAGCAGATATAGTAGATCTGCGAGAAAAAGCCTTTCCCTCTTATTTGCGCGATCATCCACCTCGATGAACAATACGATAATACTGTGGGTCACTGTCCCCTCTCGATGAGATGTCGCCTCCTGGCGTCGAAGACCAGAATGACAGGACACCTCCTCAGTCGAAGATCGAGCTGGTAGCTCCTCCCGTGCAGCCATGAAGATGGTCGCTCGGTCATTCAGTCTTGAGGGCTGCGGGCGAAGGAGAGGGCGTCGGCGTCGGCGTCGGCGTAGGAGTGGACACGGGTGTAGCCGTTGAACCGAAGGTGGGCGACGGGGAGGGCGAGGGCGCAACGGCCAGGGCGCGAGACGAGGGTGACTCTGGACTCTCGAGGCCTGGCACCACGAGCTCCGTCTTGGGCGTCTGGGCGCCGTCGGGGTAGCGCGGAGACGCGTGGGTCCTCATGTGTCTGGTGATCATGTCGCGGCGACAAGCCGCGTACGGACATTGCGGACACTTGTAGGGCTTCTCGCCCGTGTGGGTGCGCTGATGAGTGCTCAGGTGATCCGACCTGCTGAAGACTTGGCCGCACACCCGGCAGGTGTACGGCTTCACGCCGGTGTGCAGCCTCATGTGCCGCGTGAGCATGTCCGACCTGGCGAAGCTGCGCTTGCAAACGTCACAGAGGTAGGCTTTCGCGGAGGCGTCCTGCGCGCCCTGGCGGCGATGCCTCGAAGCCATATGCTTGGCAAGCCGATCGTGAAGGCTAAACATCTGACCGCACACCGGACACACGTAGGCCACGTCGGCCCCGGGCGGCATCTCCTCGACGACGGGCGACACCTCGAGATTGTAGCGCACGGCGACGCTCTCCTTGGTGGTCGGCGACGCCACGTCGCCCCGCACCACCGGGACGCTCACCGCTCCGCGACTCGTCACGATACCGGGCGGCAGCAACTGGAGCGCCGGTGGCTTCGCCGAATTCGAAGAAGACAACGATGAGGACTGAGACTGCGACGAGGACGAGGAGCACGTCGAAACGGCTGCAGCTGCTGCCGCGGCCGCCGCTGCCACCGCTGCTACGGCCACCACGGCGACGTTCTTCATCGAGAGGTCGAGCGGCGACTCCTGAGGGCATCCCACCGTCGAGCCATGTTCCCCGAGAGCCTTTCGGTGACGACTTCCGGCTGCCGCTGTCAGGTCCGCTTCCGCTTCAACCTCCGTCTCCGAATGTGATTGCAAACGCGAATGCTGACGCTGGTGAGCGCTCTGAGAAGGGACTGTCAGCAGGCCACGGGGTGACTCCCAGATCGGCACATCCGAGGAGTCTGACTGGCTTCGTCTTGGGAAGATGTCCGGAAGGTACTTGGTGTGGAGATAGTGCTCGAAGCTGTATGGCGTGGGTGAGACTGGCGTGAGAGGAGTCAGGGACAGGGGCGTCAGGGGCGTCAAAGGGGCGAGGGTACCAAGGGGTCCGAGAGGCGCGAGAGGTGAAGTCGGCGACGGAAGCAGCATCCCGGAGGAAGCCGTGCAGTTGGTACATCCGCAACCCGAGTATTTTGGCGCTGGATGATGATGACGATGACGATGGTGCCGATGATGATTGCTCAACTGAAGATTGCTGCGACGTGGGTGGATATCGGCTTCCTCCTCGTCCACGACTGCCATAGACTTTGGCATCTGAATGGGCGTCGGGGTGGTATCAGCCATTCTCGCGTTAGTTGAGACCGACGCAATGGTCGAGGCTGCCGGGACGGACGCCGACGCTGGGCCCTGCCCAGGCCCGCTCGTCGAGACATTTACGGGCGCCGAAGAAGAGGGACTACCTTCCTCCTTGAGTCGCAACGGAGAGAAAGTAATGCCTGGACTCTCGAGGTTCGACGATCTGGGCGAACCGAATACGTCCTCGTCCTCCTCCGACACGACGGACCCGTCGAATCTGAAGACTTCTCCTTCGGAGGGTGAGCTTCTGTGCGCCTGAAGGATATCCAGGACCTGGGAGAGCCGCTTCCGCTTGCGCGGCCGATGATTACGGTTCGCCGTCGCGGCGAGCGTGTTGTTATTTGTACATGGAGGTGGCTTCGTTGGCCCTGGGGGCGCCGCGGCGTCCTCCACGGCGCTCTCGGCCATCGTCATCGATGAGACGCGGCACCCGCCGCCTGGGCCCCTTCTTGCCCTTACTGACCCTTCTCCCACCGACGCCTCCCCTCCTACCGCGATTCTCCTCCCTCCCACCTTTTTCGCCTGCAACAATGAAGATCATGCGATTACATACGTCAGCTCATAGTCTAGCAGAGTATTGATAAGTACAGTAGTTATTATTATCGGAGGAGTAATGCTATCCCCCTTCCCGTTGTTTATTCTCTCTCTCTCTCTCTCTCTCTCTCTCTCTCTCTCTCTCTCTCTCTCTCTCTCGTGGGGAGAGGCCGAGCACGCCTGGGAGAGTATAGGTAATCCGAAGATAACGTTCAAAGAGATAGTGAAATTCTAAAGCTGCTCGGATTTGTCCGATTGTCAAAGTTCTTCCGGACAAGAAACTGCTATTCGGAAAGTTCTCCCATGTTCGACGTGACAACGGCACTTTGTCATAACACCGCGCAATCGGCCTCGGGAGATGTTTTCTCTGATCTGTTGGATCTCGTGGAGCCACGGAGGACGGATTCAATGAATATTTGAAATGTAAATAGATGCGCGGCGAGAGAGCATAAATCTGTGACGGGATATGCAGGGAAGACACGAAGCTCCGGATGCTGGGCAAAGGAAATAGTCAAGAGCGGTAGGCAGATTTCAGTCTCAGAAACGCAAAAACTTGAGACAATCCGAGGAAGCGACGACTTACAAAGTGATCGAAGAATAACAAGAGCGATACAAGAAATATTTACATTGCTGGAAACTAAAGTTTACTAAAGCATTTAAGAAATTTCCAAAACGGGGATTGATACTTCTAACGGACTCCTTCCAAATCGTGGCTTTCTTTTGCAAGAACGTTAATACTAGCCAGGTATTTGATTAAAAGGAAACAAAAAAACGGTTCTCGGAATTCCCACTCGCAATTTGGGAAAATTTCGAAGATGCATCATGGAACCGCGATGCAGTCGCGATGCAGTCGCGATGCACAAACGTTGATCGCTTCCTGCCTGCATGCAACTCGCCGGAAGAGCAATCGAATCGATAGAAGGAAAGTCGATAGAGCCACTATCGGATCAACGGATGGAGAAATAGAAGATCCGCTGAACGGTCGAGTGAATTCTCGAATCGATGCTTTTCCCCTCGGAGGGAGGATCATTCCGGGAGGGAAGAAGAGGGCGCCGCATGTATCTTTCATACAAACAGTACAAAGAGCTCCAGAATATGCGGTAAGAAAGTTAGAGACGCCGTAGGAAGGTTCGAAGGCAGGACAGTAGTATATGGCGGTTCTGGACGTCGCAGTAAGGCAAGTTTTTATCGCGGCCGCCATCTGCCGACCGATCGTCATTACCGCGCTAAGTAATCCTGCGGACGACTCTGCCGTGAGCCGTGAGCCGTGAGCCGTGAGCCGTAGGCCGTAGGCCGTGTGTCATACTATAACCTGCAGCACACCGCCGCCATGCCACTCGCGCATCCATCTGTGTCATAGTTTTGCTTTCGAGTCCCAGCTCGACGAACCCGCTCGCTATTACTTTTATGTATTGTAATTCCTACCCGAAGATGCACAATGAAGAACGAACTAATATTTAGCGTATAGGCGATTCATAATTTATTAATGGATGGGCAAAGTCATTGTATTTTTATAGGATAAAACAGTAAAATACGTGACGGAACGCGAATCGCATCACTGGAAGACCAGAAGTGACTTGATCGTGGCGAACGGACCCCAATTCACAGATCGAGAGAAACTCGAAGGTTAAAATAATATTAAGATGAAAGGCGCAACTGCGAAGAGACATGTCCTGCTCCTGCGAGTGAAGCGGCCAATCGAGAAAACTCGGCGACATTCCGGCGACATTCCGCGCGGCTGAAGACAAAGAAAAAGCATTAGCGAGAATCTTTTAAAGTTTCCGAGCAACGCGCGACGTGGACGCTTCCTAAAGTCCCAAAGTTAAGGCAGTTTCACACCGTGAGAGAGCGACGGGCGCGACGGGCGCGACAGGCGCGACTCTCCCCCTTCGATTCGTTCCCAGCCTCCTCCTCAGCCGATTCTCGACCCAAACCACGCGAGATCTTCGGTGTCTCGGATTTAAGGAGGATTCTTAGGACAGCATCGGACAGGTCGAGAGACGCGGTGGCTGCCCAAAGCCAAAATGGGAGCAGTGTAAACGGGTCTTAAGCGGCTACTCGTGGGAGTCGGACGACATCTCTCGAAGGTCCAGGCTCCAGGCTCCAGCGAATCCTTCGCTTCAGCCGCCTCTCCTTTCGAACATCAGAGAAGCCGCTCGTACGAGAGCTTTATCTCGAAATCGCGGACGCGCATGCGCACGCACTTGCGGCTTCCCGGCTTCCCGGCTTCCCGGGCAAGGCTTTCTAAATCACGGACAGTCGTCCCCATCCCGATCCTCGTGCCAAAGGCTCCTTCGGAATATCGCGCGATTCTCTCCCATATTTCTTCTTCCTTATCGACCCTTTCCTCTCTTCCGTGCGAGAGGGACTTACGAAGCACGCACATAGTAATACGCGAACAATTGCTAGCCCAGTTAACGTTAAGCCTCACCGATTCATTATAAATTGACCAACGGTCTGATAAAAGACCAAAACGGGAATGATAATGGGATATTAGGACGATTATTATTATTTCTAACAATATACCTATAGTATGTCTTACTACAATTAGTACAATTAGTACAATTAGTACAGTAGTAGCGGAGTCAGCATCGTGAGAGGAAAGGGATGCTGCCGCAGGAGGGTCCGATCGTCTTCACTCTCGACTCACGTAATTAACACGAAGCACATTCTGGTGCGGTAGCGGCACCAGACAGGTGAAGTCAGGGATTCTCAATTTCAATGGCAACGTATTTTCCAGGAGTTGCCTGAAATTATAGGCCTGCAAGTCGATTAGACTAGAAAGACTAGAAAAGAGCTCAAGTCGAAATACAATTTTCCTCTTCCGGATTTGGTTAGCCGCTTCCGCGTGCGATTGTGCCCGAAGCGAGTACAAGGGAGAATCTTTATCAAGAGAGGACGTGGTAACGGAGGGGCGCTTGTGGACCGCAAACAAATCTTTGGTTTCCCATGGAGTTTTACTTGACACATTGCCGGCGACACCTCGCATGCCGTCGCTGCCATGGTAAAGTTATCGAAAGGGTTAAGCTTCGAGTCAATATTTTTTCAAGAAAAGCACATTTGGACGTACGGATGCTGGAATGTATGGACTCTGCCAATTAACAGAAAAATATTAATAAAGCGCATCCGTTCCAGATGAATTGGTACGCGTTGAGGAAGCAGATCTGAGCTGGATTTTATTGGCAAAAAGGCCAGACGCTCCAGTACGCGAAGCCTTAAGGAACAGCCAGCCTATAGATGGGAGCCTGCGATTTGAAACCTCAAGCCAACCTAAATTTCGCCTGTGATAAGAGACATGTATGTACAATTCTACATAGCGCGGAGAAACGTAAGACATTTAGCACGTGAAGAGAGAGGGAGAGAGAGGATATATTAATTTATAGAATTTTCCGAGTTTCATGATGTATTTGCCGGCTGTCTCGCTGTCCGGCAGAAGCTGATCATGTGAACTTGCAAGTTCAGCCCCAGCGGCGGATATCGATTTCCAATTGGCCGTTTCTTCGTCACTGGGTCAAGTCTGCGTCTCTCTGAGCCTCGAGCCCGCAGGAGGGTTAACACGCCATCGTGTTCAGTGAACAACCTGCCCCTGAATGCACGGAAGGATAACTTTGCTAGATGGACTGGCTGCCCGCGCTGTTACGTTCGGTGCAGGTGGACCACACGACCACGAGAAAAATGCGAAAATCTAATATTGACCGAGGAGTTTTATGGCGTCGTTCGATTAGGCACGGTAGCTCGTTGCACGGCAGACTCATTCGCGCACTATTACTTCGAATGGATTTCCTAATTGCACCGCAATCACCGAGATTGCTCACGTTCGATCATCATCGAACTCGAAAAAATGCTATACGTAAGATCAAGATTATTTCCTTCTACGATTACTCGAGGCGAAACATTAAACGTGAAAGTCACTGTCTGCGAAGATAGAGAGACATTGACGATAGTCGCTCGATTCGAATCGAATCGGCCAGCTATAAAATCGTCATTCAAATGATTGTCCAGCGAAGAAAATGAGACAGAAAACATAGAATCTACAAGTTCATATAAATTTTTTAGATCTTTAAGATCTTTAGATCTCTCTTCCCTCGGCTCCTTTATTCTCTCGCGTATCGCGGCTTACACATCGAGTATTAAAATTATCGAGGTGCGGAAACACCCATCTAAACGTATACGTGTTCCTCGACTCCACCTACAGGCACGACTTTGCGAGGCACTTTTCTTGGCAGCAAACTATTCCAGAGGGCCGAGCCGAGGTTTCCTATCGTTCGACGAAAGAGAGAAATGCTGTTGAGGTTGACGGAGGAGACAGAGACAACAGAGACAACGGAGCGTCCAACTGCAGAGTCCATCGTGCGACGCCTGCAACTAGAGTTGCTAGAGGCGGAGGTTGCGATAGCTGGACGGCGTTGTTTGCAAACAAAACCGGAGAGCCCTGACACCTGACACCCGACACGAGCCAGCCAGCTCTCACGCGTGCTCTCGCCTCAATTACGATCGAGAGACAATCAAGTTGTTCGACGTGCGCCCTGTTTTCATTATCACCAGTCGCAAGACATTGGCTCGTAGCTGAGCGTCTCGACGCTTCTCTCCGATGGGCATTCGAGAGTCACAACTCGAGTCGGAATTCAAGGTGCAGCGCACTTACTATCCGATTAAACGTAACTCTTTCAATTAGTTCGACTATTCGTCGATTTACTTAGGCCCGTAACTAGTCTATAAGTCAATGCCAGAATTAGCCAGTGCTAAATAAAACGAAGCCAACGAAGCCTACGAAGCACATTGACTGACAAGGATTTTTGTATCTGCCTCCATATCCAGTCGAGTAATCGTCTCGTAGTCGCTAGCCCGCCATATTTCTATAGGTATTTATCATTTGTGCAGGCACACGACTTACTTTTATCTATTGTCACAGTCGGCTTTGGGTCGGCTGGCAGGCTGGAAGGGCGAAACCAGAACGAGAGGGGACGACAGCACGTTCAGCTTTTCCAGTTGGTGGGACCACACTGGCGCACACATCGACGCTATTTCTTTAAAAACGAAATTCGCTGTGTCGTCTGTCACACCAATCAGACGACCAATCACTTGAATCGTCGATGACTTTTCGAAAAAGTCCACTAGCACCAACGCAGCCAATAACATCAGCACTGTCACTAGTAGCACCAATATCAGCACCATCAACGAAATTTCGACCAGAGCGAAGCAACAGCAACAGCAACAATAACAGCACGTTCAATTCATAATTTTTATCAGCAAAAGTAACAACTTTGTTATTTCGTCTCGTTATCGCATGATTCAAACTTTCATGAGCGAAAGCTTCCTTGACTTTTCATTTCCAAACAACTCGCGCAATCTGGCTACATAATTCGAGAAATTGGTTGCAGCATCGCAACACTTGACAAGGCACGTCCTGCAGTCGTCCTTTATTCAGGCGTCAAGCTCTCGGCAGTAAAAGATTAAGTTATCGCCTCTCGCGTCTCCTCAGCACCGACAGAAGTACGTCTCTCTTCGGGGAAGTCCCATGATCCGTTGACGTAACTGACGGGGGGGGGCCAGTCATGTCACCTAAGATCCGTCCAGGTTCGAGCAGGCACAGGGGGGCAAAGGTTCCGCGCACCATGTGTAGCCACAACAACCGATCGCCATCAAATTACTCACTTGTTCACTCAAAACATTAATCTCTTGAGACGATATTCGAATACTCTTCGTCCCTCGGCGGTACGGTGATTCGAATGCGAAATGAAATTCTATCACTGCCTGATTGAATCAGTGAATAAACGAATAAGAGCACCAGGCAAGACTGGAATGTGAGGTGGAAGGAATCCAGTGACCTCTGGCCACGGCTGGAGGCTGCGTTATCCCGCGCGTGGTTGTGTCGTCGACATGTCGTTGCAGCAGGACAAGGTCCGACGGAGTGGAGTAGGATGAGTAGCAGCCACACTGGGAGGAAGAACTTTTTGTTGCGAATCGCACGCCGTCGGCCGATACGTGCGCGAGGGAAAGGACCAAGAAGGAACGGGGAAGAGTAGATGGCGATGACGACGACGGTGACGACTGCGAGGACGAGAATGAGGGTGACGTAAGGTTTGATTTCGTCGATGACGTTGATACTGAGGATGATGAAGACGACAACGACGACGAGAACAAGGAAGGCAAGTGATAACGTGGAGGTCAAAATGCGTCGCGTAACAAAAAAATTCGACGTTCCTTGTAGCGCAGTCCCGCGCCGACTGTGAGACTCACTCGTGGCGGGTGTTTGAGTTTCACGGAGGTGATATTCCCCCACTCCGGATCCTCCGGCCTCGCCCCTCCGGCGCGTGCAGCAACACCCCCCACCCTCGCGGCAACGGCTCTCCACCCTCTTCGAGCTCCGTTCTCGTTTCCCGTTCTTACGTTAGTCCCGCTCACGCTCACGTTCACGCTCACGCATACGCTACGCTCCTGGTACACTTACGCGCATGCTCTTCGCACTTACGCTGACGCTTACACTTACGCACATGCTCGCGGACTCCTTAAGCGCTACATTTTACAAGTATCGCTGGACCTCTATCCCGCTCATGCTCTTTACCTTCGAGTCTCTTATAGGAAGTTTAACGTTAGCGGCAAAGTCAACGTTAAACACAGTACAACCGGCAACGCTAGAGCTAGCGCTAGCGCTAGCGCTGGCGCGACCACCTCCCACCCCGTCCCCCTGCCAGCCTGACCGCCTGCCTGCCCACCTCCTTTTGCGATCGCGAACTAACTAACCAAGAGCGCGCGTAGGCTTCAGTAGATTCGAGGTGGGTGCGCGACCAGCACGATGCGCGGAGACGCATCGAGGAGTCCGCGACCACGCCCACCCTCCCCCTCGTTTCAAATTCGCACCGTTTCTCTCCCTTCCGCGCTTCGTCTCTCTCAATTTTTAGAACGGCAAGTGCTCAGCTATTAATAAATAGTCCATCTATCCATCTCTGTCTTTGCTCAACCGACTCCACTTTTTGTCCATGTCGGGAATGCCGAATTACGAATTACTCTCTTGCATCGAATCCTGAACTAATTGTGAGTCATGCTACAGCGCCAAATACCTCAGGATTCTGACGCCGAATTGCCTGGCTCAGGTAATATTTCGAAGGATGCGTCTTTTTTTAACCACCTGGCCTGACTTCCAATGGACGCGTATCTGGCGTTCATGTTGCGGATTACTTAAAAGAATTAGCCAATGACTTGGCACAATCACAGAGTAAACGATCGTAGGAAGGATATCGACACGCGTGTACATTTTGGTAAGTTTGAACACGTGGCTCGTTCGGCTCGAAAGTTATGACTCAGTGGAAGCGCTAAGTGCTTCGCTGCTGGAGCCACGAATTTTCACGTTGAAAGGAATGCGTGGCCCGCGGGAGGCAATGCGAAGCAATTGGTCGCGAAGCTTCAGTAGGCATTGAGAAGGAAGAAGGAGTCAAGGAAGAAGAGACGTGGATCGTTAGTGATCGTAAAAGGAAGGAGAGTCATCCTAAGGGAGGTAGGTGAACTCCGCGAGATACTCGACTCACGATGTGCGATGCACCTGGGTCACGGACCCCCCCTCCTCCTCCTTCCCTCCACCCATCATCTCCGAAGCAAGAAAGAGATTTTACCTGAGCCACGCACGAGATGATCCAGCTGTTTGATCGACCACGTGCTCCCCTTGCAAGGAAGCAGAGATCGGGGATTATAACGGCATTTTGAAAAAAAAATATAAGAGCAGAGAGCAAAGAGCTAAGGGAAAGAAAGAGACTTTAAAGGTTTAAAAAATGCAGGCGACCTTGAAGATCTACGAGGAGACGTGCGCCCACTTGTCCGGGGCCGCTTCTTCGGCCTCGGACGAGAGAGCCGAGTGGTCTCCATCTCGGCAGTGTAAACACTCTGGCTTTTCAATTTACAACTTCTGCCGATGCGCTCGCACGCTCGCACGCCTCACCTCACCTCCGGGCTCGTGCGCGCTCGTGCGCCACCAGCTTCCAACTTCCAACTTGCACGGTTCTACGCACATTCTACGCACGCTCACGCGCGACAATGTTTGTTCAAAATCTCAGCCGTCGTCTGGAGGCGCTGACGTCCCTTCCCTCTGCGAGAAGTCAACGGCCGTCCTTCGATCCTTCTTCCTTGCAGCGCGTCGCATCTTCATGAAATACCGAGACAAGTATGCACAGGGTGTTTCACTCGAATAGAATGAGATGTGGCCACAGTCCGAGATGACCCAATTGGCGAAAGAAATAAAAAATGCAAGATTTGCAGCGCATCGATCGACGTAGTCGGGATGACGCGATGACGCGATGACGCGATGACGCGATGACGCTCCTCGGGAAGAGTCTCCTCGCTCGATCGATGGGCTCGGGTTATTCGCAGGGGCCAAGCCGCCCGGAGGTGCACCGCCGCCGATAGCACGCGGAGGGAGACGCGAAGCCACAGTCACTCACACCTCGGTTGGTGCTGTGGGAGCAGGGTGAGGAGAGGAGAGGAGAGGAGAGGAGAGGAGCGGAGAGGAGCGGAGTGGAATGGATAGCGTAGGCGGGGCGCATACCAGGGGCACCTGCTCATTTACTTTGGTCTGCTCAAGTCGATTGCCGCCGCCTCGGTAGTCCCTCCGAGAGCCAAGACCGCGAGAGGGACAGCCTCATTAGGATCCTTCCCCTTCCCCTTGCCCTTCCCCTTGCCCCCCGACTACCCGCCACTCTTTGCTATTCCCGCATGCTTACTACTCTTACTCAATCGCGTACTACGCGCCTTGTATCTCCCGTCTCTGCTCAATAGTGTTCTCGAGTCTCGTGGGTTCTTCCGAGGAAAACTTTTCGCGAGTCTTTCACTCGATTAGACAACTTTGTTTGCCAAGCAGAATGAAAAAAAAAAATAAAAAGAAGAAGCAGACTCCCGTCTGCGGGAGTGGCGCTAACTCGGAAGCGCAAGATAGCCCTCTGTCGCTTTGTCGCGGGACAATGGCTTCTTCCAGTGGAACGTTTCAACGCCTAAAAGGATTTATGAGGTCGGGAAAAAATAAACCACAGCCACCCTTGGCATCGGTGATGGGCGTGCGCCGGGCCCCTTTTCCTAGAGGGGTCCGGGACTCGAGAAGAATGAGCGAAAGGCCCGAAAGCCAGGTAGAGAGCAGGGGACCTTACGCAAGGGAGAAGTCGTAACGGGGCGCCCCTGTCCTCATCGCGCATGTATTCCATAACGTCTTCGCCACGACCGTTATGACGAATCACTGCCGGCACAGCGCGGGCTCATGTGGGAACGCATGAATGCGTGCATGCGTGGATGCGTGGATGCGTGCATGCCTGAGTGCGTAATGGTGCACGGTTACGCACACCAATGCCTAGAAGTAAGACTTTGCCAACGGTACAAGAAAGTCTCAAAAAAAAGGACAGAGTCTCAGAAGAGATATTTTGTTGTTCGGCAGATCTAAACTATCACCTATACGATCGTATCGACACACGCACGTGATGGACCATTGCTCTTTCTTCTTGACCCTTTATCTTATCAAGACTTGATGACATAAGGTAATCTCTGAGAAACGCTAGAAATTGGACCGCGGTCAGCGCGGCCTTTGCAACAATCAGCTGCATCTGGCTCTCTCTCTCTCTCTCTCTTTCTCTCTTTCTCGCACCCACAGTCACCACCACGCACGAAGAAAAGGACATACAGCGGACTTGCTGTCTGGAACTACAATATAGTGTAGAGAGCAATAGCGGTCTGAGCAGTACGGAAGGCGTATGCGTGTAAGCAGCATCCAGCCTGCTACACGAAGGAGACAATGTTGGACGGCGAGTGTCAAGGCAGCCGCTCAGAGCAGATAACGTCTGGTGGCAGTCTGCTGAAGCTCTCACGGTGGTCAAGTAAAAGGAAGACAAGTCGCATTTGGAGGCGCCTGCCAAGTTACGGGTGACTACGGGCTATGAGCCGTAAGGAAATTGTTGCCCTTTATTCGTTTGCGTGGCTATTATCTGGGGCGTCGTAGGTGTCGTTGGTGTCTTTGGTGTCTTTGGTGTCTTTGGTGTCTTTGGTGTCGTAGACTCCGTAGGCGTGTAAACTGGCTACCGTTAAGATTTATAGGTAGCCAGATCTCTCGCGACACATTCGTCCCAAGTCGTGTCGAACATCTGCAAACGGGCGAGGACAAACGAGCACCTAGTAGCGCTTATGTCTCCGATTTCAAAAAACACATTTCAAAAAACACCCTCCCTCCCAGTCTTTATTATTCCCTCTCCCTTCTTATTTTTCCATCTTTTCTTCTTCGTGATAAACGAAACGTGGTGCGACCCAGCGCGATTACAAGAGCCCTATTGAGGTAAGACCATTCCTTGCAACAAAGAAGATCCATCACTGATAAATCTGCTTCCTCGTATCTTTGAGATAGGAGCCTGCAATGTCGAATGTTGTGACTCTTCTCCTGAGAATCCGTCAGCGAAACAATATTTTCTGGAGCCCCATGACGAAATCGCGTGGATCACGTGCGTCGACCAATCTGGTTTCCCCGGCAAACATTGTTTTACAGATGCGAAGAAGCTGCCTGAGAAACTTTCGAGATTCTCCTACCGTTTCACTCTCCAACTTAATTGTACTTCGCTTCAGGTTTACACTACTTTACTTACTTTGTGTAGAAAAGATGTTAGGACGGAAGGACTCAATGATGAACAATCAATGGCGCCGATGGAGACGCGGAAAAGCGTCGTCGCCTCCTCGTGATTCGTGTTGACTTATCGGCACCTCACGTTAATACACTCGGATAGTCACATATATGCAGCACACCTGCAGGTATCAGCAGCCAAGTCACAGATCGGATCACTGATCGGAATATTGAGAATCTCCCTATTCAGGTAATTTTGATAGGTGCGTCTTTCACGTCTTTCACGTCTTTCACGCTTCCACTCACACACATCCTCGTGCACCTGCGTGTACCACGCAGTGCACTCTTTTTCGATCGACACGTTTTCGTTTATTACTCCAAGAGATATAGGAACTATAGGTCTCTCTTTTGTACCAACAACAAAACAACAAACAGTCTCACGAGAATAAGCAATGCCATAAACAAGGGGGGCGGCGAAGGAATTCGAGATGTCGAATTACGAAGATTGGCGGCGTCGGAGGCGTCGGAGGCGTCGGAGGCGTCGGAGGCTCGCGAGGGTCGAAGTAGGAACGTCGAGGGAGCCTCTGGAAGCGACCGTTTTCGCCGTGATCCCGTAGAGACGCACTCAGCGTCTGCAACAGGTGAGTAGTAACTGTGCGTAGTAGCGGACAGTCTGCGACTAAACCGCCAGTATGATCACCACCTCACGAGCTACTCCACGATCCTCCTTCTCATCTGTTCCCGCATCTCGCATCTCTCTTCTC